TGGATTGAGTGCTGGCCTGCGAACCAAAAGTTGCTAGTTCAGTTCCCAGTCAGAACATATGCCTGGGTTGCCAGCCAGGTAAGAGGCAACTGATTAATGTATTTTTTGCATATTGATGTTTCTTTCCCTCTCCTTCTCCCGCCCTTTCCCTCTCTCTAAAATAAGTAAATAAATAAAATCTTTAATAAATAAAAATTTACTAAAAAATTTAGAGATAAAATTATGGACAAATTTTTATTGTCTTAGGCTAGGCAAAAAGTTCTCAGCCTTCACCCCAAAGCACAGTTCTAAAAAGAAAAGTTAGTAGGTTGGACTTTATCAAAATGAAAAACTGTTCTGCAGAAAATTTAAGAGGAGTAAATTATTGAGAGAATTATTTGCAAACCATATATACAATATATAACAATCTACAATATGTAACAGTAAAAACCAACAATCTAATCAGAAAATGAGCAAAGTATATAAATAGATATTTCACTAAAGAGAAGAGCAAGTAAGCACAAGAAAAGATGTAAGTTAAACATATGTATACCATATGACCCAGCAGTTTAACTCCTAGACATTTATCAGAGACATGAAAACCTGTGTTGGCAAGAAAACTTGTACATAAATGTTCTTACCGCCTTTGTTTATAATAGCCCCAAACAGGAAGCAACCCACATGTCCTGCAATTGAGTTAAACCAACCATGGAATATTGTTCAATGAAAACAAATACTCATATAACTTGGATGGACCCGAAGGGTATCATGATGATTTTTTTTTTTAAGTATAACACTCTCGAAATGACAAAATTATAGAAATAAAGTACAGATTAATGGTTGCCAGGCACAGGGACTGGAGGGGTAGAGAATGTGTGTGACTATTAAGGGATTGCACAAGGAGTTCCTTTGTGCTGGTAGAACAGTTCTGTATCTTGATTGCGGTGTTAATTAAATGAATTTGTATCTGTGCTAAAACTACATAAGCCTACATACACCCACAAATGAATGCGTGTAAAATTGAAATAAGTTCTGCAATCTAGTAAGGAGTATTGTACCACTTCCAGTATGTTGGTTTTGAAGTAGTACTATACTTACATAGGATTTTATTACTGGGGGATACTGGGTGAAGGGTACATGGGACTCATTGTACTACTTGCAACTTCCTGTAAGACTATAATTACTGCAAAATAAAGTTATACGTATTAAAATAGTAGAATAGTAAAAGCTAGTTACTGTGAATTAGTCATGTTCCAGTCATAAGATATGTGAAGCTTGGGGAAGGATTCACAGGAACAAGTATAAAGGACACATGGACAACAACTAAGGGGGGTGGAAATGGGAGGGAGGTGGGGAGCACTGAGGGGGGTGGGCTGGGATGGGAGTAAAAGAAAACTATACTTGAATAATAACTAAAATTTTTTAAATGCTTAAATAAATAAAGATATGTGAAGCTAGTTCCTCAACGCCTATTTTTCAATAAACTTGATTTTTTTTCTACTAGTTATACATGTCCAGCCTGTTGATACATTTCTACCTGATACATCAATCATGCTGATTTTTTAATTGAGGGTGTGACCACTTTTTATTTTACATTTAAAAAAATTTACTCCAGCTTTATTGAGGTATCACTGATACGACATATAAGTTTAAGGGGTACAACATGATGATTTGATACATGTATATTTTATGAAATGATTACTACATACAGTTAGTTAATACCTCTTTTTCCTCACAAAGTTACCCTTTGTTGTATCTGTGTGCTGATAACATTTAGGACCTACTCTCTCAATAACTTTCAAGTATACAATGCAATACTGTTAACTGTAGTAATATGCTATAGATTAGATCCCCAGAACTTAAAACTTTGTATGCTTTGGCCAATATCTCCACACTTCTTCCCCTCCAGCCCCTAAAAACCACCATCTACTATTTTTATGGTTTCAGCTTTTTTATATGTCACATGTAAGTGAGAAGAGTATTTGTCTTTCTCTGTATGAGTTCTTTCACTTAGCATAATGCCCTCAAGGCACATTCATATTATTGCAAAAGGCAGGATTTCCTTTTAATTGATGGCTGAATGATATTCCTCTGTGTATGTGTGTGGCATTTTTTTTCTTTATCCATCCATCTGTTGATGGTTAAATGTTTTTAAAAGTATTTTATTGATTATGCTATTACAATTGTCCTATTTTTTCTCCCCTTTGTTCCCCTCCGCCCTGTACCACCCCCTGCCCCATTAGCATTCCCGCACCTTAGTGCGTGGCCATGGGTTGTACATAGCAGTTGTTTGGCTTCCACATTTCTCATACTATTCATAACCTTCCCCTATCTATTTTCTACCTACCATTATGCTTCTTAGTCCCTGTACCTTTTCCTTTGTCTCCCTCCTCCTTTTCCCCACTAATAACCCTCCTTGTGATTTCCATTTCTGTGATTCTGTTCCTGTTCTAATTGTTTGCTTTTTTGTTTTTGATTTCTTAGGTTCAGTTGTTGATAGTTTTGAGTTTTTTGTTATTTTACTGTTAGTATCTTTTATCTTTTTCTTAGATAACTCACTTTAACATTTGATATAATAATGGCTTGGTGATGACAAACTCCTTTCACTTGACCTTATCTGGGAAGCACTTATCTGCCCTTCCATTCTAAATGGATTATGCTTTGCTGAGTAGTGTAATCTTAGATGTAGGTCCTTGCCTTTCATGACTTGGAATACTTCTTTCCAGCCCCTTCTTGCCTCCAAGGTTTCTTTTGCGAAATCAGCTGACAGTCTTATGGGAACTCCTTTGTAGGTAACTATCTCCTTTTCTCCTGCTGCTTTTAAGATTCTCTCCTTATCTTTAATCTTCAGTAATTTAACTATGATGTGTCTTGGTGTGTTCCTCTTTGGGTCCAAATTGTTTGGGAATCTCTGAGCTTCCTTGACTTGCATGACTATTCCCTTTGCCAGATTGGGGAAGTTTTCTTTCATTAATTTTTCAAATAAGTTTTCCATTTCTTGCTCTTCCTCTTCTTCTGGCACCCGTATGATTTGGATGTTGGAACATTTAAAGTTGTCCCAGAGGTTCCTAAGCCTTTCCTCATTTTTTTGAATTCTTGTCTATTCATTCTGTCCCGATTTAATATTTATTTCTTCCTTCTGATCCAGATCATTGATTTGAGTCCCAGTTTCCTTCCCTTCACTGTTGGTTCCCTGTATATTTCCTTTATTTTCATTGTTCATAGCCTTCACTTTTTCTCCATTTTGATACCATACTTAACCATTTCTATAAGCATCCTGATTACCAGTGTTTTGAACCGTGCATCTGATTGGTTGGCTATCTCTTCATCCCTTAGTTCTATTTTTGTAGTTTTGATCTGTTCTTTAATTTAGGCCTTTTTGTGTGTGTGGTTTTTTTTTTTTGGTCTCAGCATGCCTGTTGTGTAGTAAGGGGCAGAGCCTTAGGTATTCACCAGAGCAGTGCAACCCATGTACTATGTTGTAGCTCTGCATGTGGGGGGAGGGGTCCAAGAGGGAACAGTGCTGCTCACTCAGCTGTTGGCCAGCTTTCAGTTACTTCCCCTGCTACTCCCAAGCAAAGGGGGCCCTTCTTGTACTGATTCCTGGGTGGGTGGTTTTGTGTATGCTCTAGGACCCAGTGGGTCTCTCCAACAAACTCTCCTGTGAGTCTGGGACCACAGGTTTTTACACTCAGAGGTTTTGAGGCTTTATTTCCCCACACTGGAGCTCTGGGTTGTGCAGTCTGTCTCACTTCCCAGTTGTTACTCCCAGTTTATCCACATGCAAATGTGGGACTGCCAGGTCTGCCAGCCACTGCCTTCCCCTGCCTTCCCATGAGTCCTTTCTCCCCTGGCTGCCCATCTCCACCCCTCCTCCCAGTCTGGATGAGTGTTTCTTCTTTAACTTCTTAGTTGTTGGACTTCTATACAGTTCGATTGTCTAGCGGTTCTGGTTATTTTTTATTTTTAAATTTGTTGTTGTCTTTTTGGTTGTGCAAGGAGGCAAAGTGTTATCTACCTTGCCTCCATTTTTGCCGGAAGTCTCCTGTTGATGGATATTTAAGTTATGTCCTTTTCTGGTTACTGTTAATAATGCTCGAATGGACATGAGAGTACAGATATCTCTTTGAGGTAGTGATGTCATTAGCTTTGGATAAATACCCAGAAGTGGGATTGCTGGATGGTATAGTGGTTCTATTTTTAATTTTTTGAGGACCCTCCATACTGTTTTCCGTAGTGTCTATACCACTTTACATTTCCACTAACAGTGCAGAAGTGTTCACTTGTCATTAATAAGTTCCTGGTTAGGAACTTATTAATAAGTTCCTTGTCATTAATAAGTTCCTATATTAAGTTCCTGGTTATATCTTAAAAGTGAAAATTTTTAGATAGAAAAAAATTTTAGTAAAATTTTGAATGAGTAGAGACTAAATGGGAACTTAACTGTGTTCTATATACTTCAAAGCAAAATGGGTAATTGGACTCATAACGAGGTCTGTCCAGTGCTAAACTACAAAGTACATATATTTTTATGACTATAGATCAGTTTATACTTTTAGCTTACTCCCCTGTGAAGAAGCTATGAGTTAAAGTAAAAAGAAACTGGATGGGATAAGGATTCTAGATCCTTTCGTGTTACCAGCAGTTACCTTGAACATGTTACTTGTGAGCTTTTGTTTTCTGTTCTGTAAAATGAGAGACTAAAGATGTTGATCAGATAAGGAAAATATGAAAACTTTTTATACACAGTAAAGTGGGTTGTAAAATAAAGGTACATGGTAGAAAATCATTATTTTGTCCTGACTTGTTTGGAAATCAAATAAGCAAATTTCCATAAAGCTCCTTGAACAGACCTGGCACATGGTAAGCATTCAACATTAGCTGCTATGAAAATGGAGGTAGTGATGACAAAGCTTTGGTACTAAAATAATTCTGTTTCTGAGAGATGTAATTGAACTGCTTTAGCATCTGTACAAAAAAGTAAAGGATACTTTAAATAAGTCTGTGTTTTTATTTTCTAGGATCAAATCTAAATCGCTGTGGTTTCAGAGGCTCTTCATACCTGGGTATTCCATTCAATCCATCAAAGGTCAGGATTGGGAGAAAGGAGGAGGGAAGTGGGGAGATTTGAGTGAGAAAGAGTATTTAAAAAGGATACCATAAGAACCAGGCTTCCACATTTCAATACAGCTCCATACTGTCTAATGCATATTACAAACTGGAACTCTTTAAGTGAAAGCTATACCACCTTACTTCCTGGAAGAATGCGCAATACGCATACACAAAAATTATGTCTCTCTTATGTCCTGTGTGTGTTTGTAAATTATTGGTGATTTCCTGGAGAAAATGAAATTAAATCACTCAAGTGCTTGATAACTTGCAGTCTAAAAGTCCATGCACTTACATGCAATTAGAGAGGGACTTTATAAATGGTTCTCATTTCTTAGTTAAAAAACAACAACAACAAAACACTTACAACAGCAATAGCGAAAGACCTAAGTAGTGATGAATTTGTTGACCGTGGCAATAGGCAGAATATCTTCAAGGTTTCTTCCAGAGGCTTTGGTACCAGCACACACAGGTGTAGAAAACAGTGAGTCCTAGCAAAGTAAGGAGCTTTTTTCTTTAAAGAAGCAGGCCCAGAACAAGCTTTGTAGTGTTTCATCTGCGCACAGAGTACCAATTTTTTTCTACAGTGGCAAGAACAACTTCATCATTTCGTCAAGAGGTTTCACAAAATAGAAACTTTTTCTTTGATGAGATCGGTTTGCTTCTATAATGGTTACAAGCTATTATCTGGTGACATTCAGTGTCTCAAGGTTTATATCCAGTTGCAATCTGAGGACAAACAGCATGCTGCCAGTTTTTCTGCTTCAAAATTTAGGAATAGTAATTTTGGAGAAGGTGACATGATTTGATAGAGACACTGCTTAAACTTTTTTCCTCTGCCTTAAGCTGTAGACCGATTTGCCTATGTCACAGTCATGAATTTGCCATGGCGTTTTCAATCTTGTATGCCCATTGCTTTTAGCAGGAAATCTGAAAACAAAGGATTTGTAAAATACAAATACATATAAATTTGAGGTTTGTTTTTCTCAATCAGATAGCTATACAAATTAGTATAGTAAATTACCTATTTACTGAAATTATTTAATAAAATAAGTTTTTATTTCATTTTACTAATTAAGATTGTATTCATTTTAAATTCAGAATCCTGGAACAGCCCATCCTTATGACAGTGGCCACATAGCAATGACCTACACTGGCCTTTCATGCTTAGTTATTCTTGGAGACGACCTAAGCCGAGTAAATAAAGAAGCTTGCTTAGCAGGTTTGAGAGCCCTTCAGCTGGAAGATGGGAGGTACGGGTCATTCCTTCTTACTTTTTAAAAGAAAAAATTTTTTTAACTGCAAAAAAATGAATCTAATTCTATACTAGAACTTTAATGTTTATTATAAAATCTCATTAATCTGAATTTTTATTCCTTTGGTAATAAATAGGAGAACAGCATGAGCATTGAATATTATATTCTAGTATAGATAGTTTTCTTGATATTTTTAAAGGACAGAAGAGGAAGTTAATGAGTTTATTAATATTTGACAGCTTGTGCAATGTATCTAACTAAAGAAGAATTTTCCTGGAGTTTTAAGGTGACACTTTTTAAACCTGGAGGTGATATAGCAGTAGTGTTTCTGTCTAAAGAAAAGACTGCAGACAAATTCTGCTATGTTCTTATTTCTCTGTTGCATCTAGTGTTATCTCTATTTTCCTGGTGGTATTTTTAAAATGCTGCTCTTGATGAGGGGAAAATTAACATCAACATATAAGCTAAATTGCCATTAATTGGAAATACTATAAATCTAAATATTTTCCTCAGCAGGCACATGTGACTAATTTCTCAGTACTTCAACATAGTCTTTGTTTACTGCTGTCTTTGTTTATAAACAAAGGAATAGATAAGAGATACAGTATATTACCTCTGTAAAACTAATTAAGTAGATGAAAAATTAAATTAAAACACTATGATCAATTAATTTATGGTTATCTATATATAGTAAGAAGAAATGTCACATAGCAAAACCTGGAACTTTTTTCTTTTTTTGGTCATTGTGTCATAGCTGTTTCAGGCTGAGAACAAAACTTTGGTGGCATTTGGGAGAAGTAACTGTGGTAGTATGTAAAGCTACCCAGAAATCAGAACTTCGGAATAATGATTGAGAAATTATTTTAGATTATTCAAGTTAATAGTTCTTTATTGAATAATGCAAGTAGTATATGGTTTTTAACCCATATTTGGTTTTTAAAACTGTATTCGTGATAGAATAAAATGATAAAACAGTATTATTAGTAAATCTCATTGTTGTTATTTTCAGTTTTTGTGCAGTACCCGAAGGCAGTGAAAATGACATGCGATTTGTATACTGTGCTTCCTGTGTTTGCTATATGCTGAACAACTGGTCTGGCATGGATATGAAAAAAGCTATCAGCTATATTAGAAGAAGTATGGTGAGTTATGTTGCTAAATTGACTTTTTTAATGTTGTTATTGGTATATCAGGGCTGCAGTTTAATGCATGGCTCATCTCTTCCAGCAAGAATATGAAATAAGAGCAAAAAAATTGCTTTTTGAGTACGTCGTATATCCGTATAACCATATAGAAATAATAATTCAAGGACAGATTGACTGTTTGACCATTAAAATTTAAATGTGATCTGATGGTATCTAAAGAAACAATGTCTTTTTCAGAAGATTTGTCTGTATTAGAGGCAGAAAAAAATAGTAAAATCTCAAAGGCAAATATTGATAGTCTATCCTAGCAGGGACCAGTGGGGAGCCTTAGCCAATCATAAGGGGAAATTATGGCATCTTTGGTGAGATTATTCTTATATTGTATGTGAAGTGTGAGTTCCTTAAGCCATTTTGACTTGCAAGACCCAAGTGTAACCAGGTTGACTGGACTGACAATAGATTTTTTTAATCACTTTTGGTTTCTTACTCATTTGTTTTAGTCTAAGGTTTATTTTAAGGAGAATACCAACCATATTATTTTTTCATAGAATCTTTTTATTGACAGTTGTAAGAAAATCTTAGTCTCAGCTAGAATTATCCTTTGCTCTACTGTGTAGTCTCATATAAAACTGGAGAAATTAAAGTGTTGCTTCCCAGGTTTAGTATTTTCCAAATAAGAAATTTTTTACTTTTATAAATTACAGTATTTAAGACTGTTAATTTCACTTTTTTACTAGTCAGAATTTTAAAATGAAGATATAAATTCTTAGGAAAATGGAATTATTTTTAACTGAATATGCATGTAAATCAAAGTTCATAGAAGGTATAGATAGGACAAATTTTTAAAAAGCTTTGGAGGCAGAAAGAACAAACCTTTAAAGGAGTTTTAAAAGGAAAATAGATTTATGTTATGTACAAGAGTGGGTGATATGAATTTTGGCATGAATACTAAAGAAGTAATTCTATATAGTCTTGGTGCATTGTACCAGTAATGTTAACTTGGATCACTTGGTAAAGTTGGTGTATGCCAGATTTTTCTTTGCACAATTAGCATTTTTCCCTTTGTAATTATTCAGCATCTCATTATGAGATATTTGGAGACTATAATTTTTAACTACTAGTCAATACTAGCACTAGTATTATGCATTTATGATTTTCCAGTTCTATCATTCCTTCTGTAATAATCAATTGAAATTCTGTTACCAGAAGTTTTTCCTTTGCCCCTATCTACACTTCACTGGATTCTAGATTCTTGTTGTATTCAAAGTTAGTATTCAAGGCTGTTATCTGTTACCATTATTTATTTTGCTGCTCACATTGTCCCAGATTTAGCCAGTGAGAAACCTTTCAGCAGGCTTTTTTTCCTTTTGACATGCCTGCTTCATTCTTTAAGCATCTCCTTGCTTTCTGGCACAAGATATTTCCAGGTTCATCATTTACTTTCCTAGCCTCAGCCCTGGACTCGGTTAAATCTTCAGGGAGCACTGGTTTTTCTTATTGGAGGGTGTTATTTAGAAACCAGGATTTGGGCACTGGGTGTGCACATCGGTAAGGGGGTATCATTGCTTCTAACTCCTTCCTTCCCCAGCAGGCAGAACTAGAAAATGTATGTATGTATATATGTATGTATGTATGTATGTGTATGTATGTACACAGATACCCCCTTACAGATTTTTGTATCTATTTCTATATCTACTTCTATATTAAAAACCAGGAGTCCATACTGATTGATACCTCACATTTCAGTCCAACATCACAAGGTCCATTTTAATCTTTTTTCATTTTAACTCCCTTCTCTGACACTGATAAACAGGGCTCCATTATCCAGAATGACTTTTTGTTTTAAATCCTGAGGTTATATATTCAAAATATATTTAAGAAAGACTTAGCCCCAGTTTGTGTGGCTCAGTTGGTTGGAGCATTGTCCTGTAAACTGAAAGGTCACAGATTCAATTCCTGGTCAGGGCACATACCTGGGTTGCATTTCTGTCCCAGGTTGGGGTGTATATATGAGAAGCTCACATCCACATTTCTCTCCCACTCTCTCCATCCTTTCCCCTCTCTCTAAAATCAATAAGCATGCCCTCAGCTGAAAATTGGAACAAAGGGGGAAAAAGCTTAGTTTCCTTCTTTTATTTCCCCCTTTAGTATTCTGTTATTTATTGGAAAAAACAATTAAGTTTGTTTCTGTTTGGGTTTCTTTTTAGGACATCCCCCACCCCTACATACACACACATACACTGTGTTGATTTTATATATTTCTGTGAAATATTAACCTGGTTCTGAAAGTCAGAACTATACAAAAAGGTATATCCAGAGATTGTAACTCTTGGGGGCCTCCCGTCCTGTCAGTATTCCACCCCTATTTTTAACCATGTTATTTACCACCTTATTCCTATTCACTCTGTGGGCAACCGTTCTTATTAATTTTTAGGTTGTCTTTCCTGTACTTTTTGATGAGCAGATACATATATTTTTATTTCTCCTTCAATTTCTTACTAAAAGGTACTGTACCCTAAATGCTTTTTTGCAATTTGCTTTTTTCACTTAACAATATAGCTTGAAAATTATTCCATATCAGGTCATGGAGATTTTCCTCTTTTTCTTTTTCTTTTCTTCTTTTTTTTTTTTAAACAATAATAGTATTCCATTGTGTACAAGTGCCATAGTTTTTTTTCAACTATTCTACATACAGAATACATATTTTCCAAGTACAATGTTGAAATTAATAACCTTCTGCATATATGCTTATGTATTACTGAAGATACATCTTTAGAGTAAATGCCTAGTAGTTGAATTACTTGATCGAGACAAATGCATGTGTAATATTGTTAGATGTTGCCCATTTTCTCTCCAAAAAATATGAGCTAATGTATGTTCCCATAAATTTAGAACAGTGCCCATTTCCATATAGCCTCACAGATTAAATATATTTTCTCCAGTTTTTACCAATCTGGTGGGTGAAAAACGATATCCCAATGTATTTTTAATTTGCATTTATTTTATTAGGAGTAAGAGTGACCATTTTCTTAACTCCAGGCCTATATAAAACAAGGCCTTAAGCCAGATTTGCCTGCATTCCTGGTTTGGTGACCCCTGCTTCTAGTCCATTATTTGGTTTTTTGCTGTAGATATTCCAAATTTATGTATGTTCTTTCTTTGCTTATCTTTCATATCAACCACTTTCTCTTTGACCCTTGTTTACTTCTTTATCTCAAGAGAATTTTTATTCTCTTGGCTATTCTGTCTTTCTTTAATGATTGTGTTTTCATTTGAGACTATTATTCTTTAGGCATCCTGTAATTTAGTCTTCATTTCTCAGCTTATTTGGTCTTTTTCTTCTTTTTATTCTCTGAAATCATTAATTCTCTATTTCTTTTTACTGATTTTTTTTTCTGTTTTTCGTTTAGAATTTTCTTTCTGTATTTCCAGTTGCTTTTCTGAGGACATGTAATTGAGTTTGGGGTGCTGTATGAGTTTTCTTCTGTTTTATCACTGTTTGGGGAGGTAGAAGTAGATTTTCATATACTAACATGTTTTCATTTAAATTGCTGTGCCTTTAATTTAATTAGTTTGCATAGACTTGTCTTTTCTTGTTTACTCATTTAGTATATTATTTTTCCTTACAAGAATTTTTAGTTTGCCAATTCTTCAATGCAAACAAAGTTTGATTTCTTTTTTATTTTATATAACCATTTTATTTTAAAGTGTATTTTATTGATTATGCTATCACAGTTGTTCCATTCTTTTTTTTCCTCTTTCTCCCCTCTGCCTGGTACCCTCATTCTCTCCAGCAATTTAGTGCCCACCTTAGTTCATGTCTATGGGTCATACATACAAGTTCTTTGGCTTCTCCATCACTTATACTGTTCTTAACCTCCCCCATTCTCCCCATCACCAGCCCACTGACATCCCTACAAATGATCTGCATGTCTATGATTCTGTTCCTATTCTAGTTGTTTGCTATTTGTTTGGGGGTTTTTTTTTAGATTTATTGTTGATAGTTGTGTTTATTCTCATTTTACTGTTCATAGTTTTGGTCATCTTCTTTTTCTTAGTTAAGTCCCTTTAACATTTCATATAATAAGGGCTTGGTGATGATGAACTCCTTTAACTTGACTGCACTTTATATCTGGGAAGCACTTTATCTGCCCTTCACTTCTAAATGATAGCTTTGCTGGATAAAGTAATCTTTCCTTTCTTGACTTTGAATACTTCTTTCCAGCCTCTTCTTGCCTCTAAGGTTTCTTTTGAAAAATCAGCTTGTAGTCTTATGGGAATGTCTTATAGGTAACTGTCTCCTTTTCTCTTGCTGCTTTTAAGATTCTCTTCATATTTCTAACCTAGGGTAATGTAGTTATGATGTGCCCTGGTGTGTGCTTCCTTGTGTCCAACTTCTTTGGGACTCTCTAAGCTTCCTAGACTTCCTGGAAGTCTGTTTCCTTGGCCACGTTGGGTAAAGTCTCCTTCATTATTTTTTCAAATAAATTTTTCATTTCTTGCTCTTCTTTGTCTGGCACCCCTGTGTTTTGGATGTTGGAACGTTTAAAGTTGTCCCAGAGGTTACTAAGCCTCTCCTCATTATTTTGAATTCTTGTTTCTTCATTCTGTTGTGGTTGAATGTTTATTTCTTCCTTCTGGTCAAAATCATTGATTTGAGTCCCAGTTTCCTTCTCTTCACTGTTTGTTCCCTGTACATTTTTTTTTATTTCACTTTGGATAGCCTTCACTTTTTCCTCTATTTTGCAACCTTCCTCTACCATTTCTGTGAGCATCCTGATTACCAGTGTTTTGAACTCTGCATTTGGTAGGTTGGCTATCTCCATTTTGCTTAGTTCTTTTTCTTGATTTTTGATCTGTTCTTTCATTTGGGCCATATTTCTGTGTCTCAGCACACCTATTACATTGTAAGGGGTGGAGCCTTAAGTGTTTACCAGGGTGGGGCAACTGACCGTTGTGTGTTGTGTGAGGAGTGAAAGAGGGAATCATGCTGGTTGCTCTAAGCTCTTGCCTGGCTTTTAAGAGATTTGCAGTTTCTTCTGCCACCACAACCGCCACAGGTTTTTTTACAGCCAGAGGTTCTGAGGCTTTATTTTGCCCAGGCTGGAACCCTGGGTTTCGTGGTCTGTCTCACTCCCCACTTGTTCCTCCCAGTTTATCCACATATGAATCTGGGACCACCTGGTCTGCCAACTGCCTTGCAGTGGGTCCTCTCTGCCTCTTCTACCAGTCTGGTTAAAATTTTCTTCTTTAACTCCTTGGTTGTCAGGCTTCAGTACAGTTTGATTTTATGGCAGTTCTGGTTGTTTTTGTTTTTTAAATGGGTGTTTCCTTCTTTTGGTTGTGTGAGAACATGAAGTATATGCCTTCATCTGGTTTGAAACTCCCAAAGTCTGACATCTTTAATGAATGTTGGGGGGTTTTTTTGGTTTGTTTGTTTTTTTTTTTTTTTTTTAGTATTGGCGGGGTTGTGAGTTCTATGATATTCTGGTGGGAGAGAGGTTTTCTTATTTCTCAGGTCTCTGAATTTTGCCCATTTGAGTTTCCCTTTGCACGCTGCCACTTTGACTCGCACTCTCTTAACTCCCGTCCGTAAAGTCAGTGCTCAGAAGTCTTTCAGTTCAGGCATTTCTCTCTCGGCATGGTAGTGCCAGTCTATAATAATGTTTATGCATGCCGAAATGATACAGAATGATCTTTATCATCAACTGGTAAAGTTACAGTTGTTTTGTGACCTTAACAACTTTTTTCTAAAACACTGAAAACTCTTTTACTGTCATTTATAAATGTATAGAGAATTTTTTTTATGGTAAGACCAATATTTATTTAGTACACTGTAATTTAAAACATTAGCAAGATGAGAAGTAAAATGTTTTCTTTGTAAAAACATTCATCAAGAGTAGTTTAGACGGTGCTTTGCTTCTTCTCATATGGCTTACAATGTGGAGTGGAACAATCATTTTTTCTGTCTTGGTAAATAAATGATTGTGCTGCTTTATAAGTTTGTATCAGCTTCTAACATTTTATCCTTTGCATTTTCATTTTTGCGCTATATCTTTTACGAGTTTCTTTTATGTGTAGTTTTTTTACCATTTTCACTTCTTAGAATATCTTTATTTTCTTCATCACAACCACTTTCTTCACCCATGTAGATGTTTGGCCTTTACATAGTTGTTCTGACTGTAGCACTGTCAGCATTCCCACCGTGTTTGGTTTGTTTCACTTCCAGTGGTATTGCTTTTCTTTTCTTTACTGCACTTTCATCTTTGTAGCCATTGTCATAACCTCTTTTGGCTGTGCCTTTTTATAAATTGTAATGTGGGTTTATCACTAGGAGAAAGGGACAATACAACCAACTACCCACTTGCTGTCTCTGCATTAACTGAGTAACGTGCAGTGACAAACTACTAACAGACTTTGAAAAGAGTGATGTGATTGGTCACTTGTCATGATGCAAATTTATTATTTATGTAGTGATTTGTGGACTGAGGAGCTAGCAGGAGGTTTGTATTTTATGCAGTTGCTCATAGTTAGTGTACTGTGGTTTACTGAAATTTGAGCCATATTGTGTTATTTAAGCTATGGCACCTCAAATTTGTGCATATGGGAGCTGTGCAAAGCGAGGACTGCCTGTATTTCACATTTAGGGTGAAGTCTGTCTTTCAGGTAGTGAGTTTAGATCAATCTCAGACCTGCCACTAGCTCCCCTCCTCGGTCTTTCTCGTGATTTTTCAGGTTGCTCTTCCTCTCTGCACACTTGTCAAGAGTATGAGAGATGGCTTGCTGGGATGTGATGTTTATTTTTCTATAAACAGGTGATTTGACGCTTGAGCATGTCTTGCAGCCTTGCTAAGGTTTCAGTTTTATATGGTTATATTGTTTTGATTTGTTAGGATATGGGGGGGGTTAAATTTTAGGCAGTCACCATTATCCTGAGCTACTCAAAAGCTTCAGAATAGATTTGTTTTGTGTTTATAATGTGTTTTTAGTATAAAATCCTTACATCTTCCTTAAACACATATATTCTTACAAGCGGGAGAGGAATGAGAGTTGAGTCTTTTTACCAGGTAGAAATGAATACAAGTACGGTGCCATCATTTTGAACAGTCTACTGTCAGAATGTGCCTAATGTATGCTTTTAGTAACTTGGTGTGGTGAATAAGGCAAGAAAGGTACTTGAAAATTCCTATATCTACTACTTTGTGGAAAAGATATAAAGGAGAAATAAAATTAGATCAACAAAAATTAGTATAATGACAATTTAATTTAGTATTATTTCCCTATTAAACCAAACAATGTTTTTCTTTTTCAGTCCTATGACAATGGGTTGGCACAGGGAGCTGGACTTGAATCTCATGGTAAGGCATCTTAAAATAAGTAAACATGTAGTTTCTTTAAATAACATCATGTTATCTTCCACATGGAGGACCCCAGAAGTGTGTCTCAGCTCTTTGTTCAGCCTGACCATCTTCTTTCCTACTTCTCTCTTTTGACACTATTGTACTAGTTTGCACCTCTTCTAGGTCAGTAATCATTCATAAACTATTCCAACCAGAGTTTTCATACAGTATTTTCTAGTAACCTTCTCAAGTGTTAGCTGCACAACAGTATCTTGGGGTGATGTTTTGTTGTTGTTGTTTTTGGTTTTAGGTTTTATTTATTTATTTTTAGAGAGGGGGAAGGGAGGGAGAAAGAGAGGGAGAGAAACATTGATGTGTGAGAGAAACTTTGATCAGTTGCCTTTTTGCACATCCCAACTGGGGATCTGGCCCACAACCCAGCCATGTGCCCTGACCAGGAATTGAACCAGCAACCCCTTGCTTTGTCAGGTGACACCTAACCAACTGAGCCACACTTGTCAGGGCCTTCGGATAATTTCTTAAGATATTGTTAGAAAATAGCAAGTTTCCTTCTTTGGCATAACACTAAAAGGCTAGATGCAGAATATTAAACATGAATCAGTGAATTTGTGAAAAAAATTTAAAAGTTTTATTTACCTTCCTTAATGAATTATCCTAAATCATAGTCATGAAACATTTTGTTGCATAATGTGTGTTCAATATATTGATACAATCTCTCCTTTTACATTTTTTCCCACTTTTGGCACAACCAAAATAGATAACAGTCACTATGTAAGCACATCAATAGCCTAAACTCTTTCATGTTGAATATTTCCACATAGAAGTAAATAAGCTTTCATGCTCCCTTTTAAAAAAGAAAGGCCGAATCAAGCAGGCTCTTGGAGTGAACTCCTTGTTTCATCTTCATCTCAGCAGTTCTTTTTGCTCCCCTGTGGTGCCCACCCCTCCCCCTCCCTATGTGAGATACCATGGAAAGACCAGGTCAGTATTCAGGTCTCGTCCCTGACACCAGCTGTGTGATCTTGGCTCCGCACTTAGTATCTCTAAAGGCTGCCTCGTGAACAAGTAGAAAATTTTGTATTTTTTTTAAGATTGTTGTTAGAATTATAAGAGATAGGAGGTAAAGTGGATTATAAACTATAAAACATGTATTAAAAGATATATTTTTTTAATTTTATTTATCTTTAGAAGAGAAGGAGAGAAAGATCAATGTATGGTTGCTTCTGGCGCATCCCCTGCTGGCCTGCAACCCATGCATGTGCCCTGACTGGGAATCAAACCTCGATCTTTTGGTTCGCAGGCCCGTGCTCAATCCACTGAGCTACACCAGCCAGGGCTAAAAGATATTTTTAATATATATTTCTCGATTTCATACCCTTGGAAACTTGTCCTATCAGGTATCTTTTCTGTCTCTCACATCTTACTCTGTCTTTCCGTGTAGGTGTTTGTAGAGTGTGTCACTAGGGGCTGCATAGAAGACTGTCTTGGATTTCCTCTGAGGCCACACTAATTAGGACACAGTTAATTCTTGTGTATGCCATCATCTGTCTGAGATTAGCAGTGGGGCAAGCTGGAAATAGCAGTTATGTCACTGGTCATCACCACTTGGTAAGGAAGGATACACTTGTCGCTACACAAAGAGAAAACCTGGCATTTGTAAGAATTTGTGTGAAGGTAGGGTCTTCTGCTCACTCTTGTAAAGGATGTTAATGGGCTTACTTGTTGAGGGGAGCTTCCCAGCTCCCCTCCAGTATAGGAGACATGTGAGACTGACACTGTTGTTCCCAAGAAATTGGGGTTACATTCTTTGGGATGTGGAACAGAGAGAGCTGCTCAAACATGATACTCTCTAAGGGATCCGGGCAGGAAAAACTCTTGCTGGGTCACACAAGCAGTGATTTTGAGTCAGTATGATTTGCCTAGGATTGTACCCATCAAGATCATCAGTGATGGACTGTGGTTCATGCCAAAAAACTTCCATTCTTCTTTTTCTCTAAATTCAGCTTGGCAGGTTGGAGGCCTGAAATTCCAAAGGAGGGTTCTCTAACCGCGGTGCTCCAGTTTATTGACGTACCACTAATGGGTGCTAGGTGTGCCAAGCTATTGCTCCCTTAGCTTTTGGGACAGCCAAGCAGGACCTGGGTGTCTAGAGACCCTGGTAAGGTGGCCTCTGACCAGGAGCAGCCACCTCAGGACACTTTGGTATATCCTACAAATATCAGATATTCTTGTTCTTTTGTGTGCTTTGAGATTAGATAAAGTCCTGATTGGTCATCCTGTGAAGTCATTGTATACTCCCTTTTTCTTCTTTCTGTTAATCTTTTTAGAATAGTGGTCCAAATACACTGTTTGCCCTTCTACAAAAATAGGTTGTTTTTTAAATTTTTTCTGTGAGCCTTCATCATCTTGGGGTTTCTCCTTTAAAGTCATGAATAATCCTTATTTCAAATCCAGTGTCTCTCATTCCTTATCTTCTTTTTATTGAAGCATTTGAAGCTGTTAACCTCTCCGCCTTTTTTCTTGGAATACCACATTCTTCTTTTCCTCCTTCCTGACAGGTTTCTGGTTCCTTCACCATTTTTTGTTTGTCATTCTGATCTCTTTACTTCAGTCCAACTTCTTTTCTTTTTATTGTATTTTCCAGTAGCATTTAATGCCCTTATTTTCCCTTCCCCCCTCTACCAACTTTCTTCTTTTCTTTGGGTAGTTCGATCTTTCTAAATCTCATGGCTCTGGTACTTGCTCTTCTTTGTAGAGAATCCCCCCTCCCCAATCCCAGCATACATCTGGCTTTATTTCACATCCCTTTAGATCTGGGTTCATATGATATTTTTGGATAAGCCTCCTATTAAAATTGCAAACCACCCACATACACACTCCCTATTTAGAATCACAAACCAACCACATGTACGTACACACCCTGTCCCTTATCCCCCTTTCTGGCTTTATTTTTCTCTGTGTCACTTATATTTTAGCTATTTGTTCACTGTCTCCTCACCTGACATAAGCCTCATCAGAACAGAGATTTGGGCCTGTTCTATCCACTGCTGTGTCCCCCACACTGATAACACGTGTGGCACACAGTTGAACGAACCAGCAGGTGGTTCTTTATCAATTACCCCTGTGTTGATGTCACCCAAACTGTGTTTCCAGACATGTGATACTGCTGCTGAGCTGCACAGCGCCCTTCCTGCCTGCCTGCCTGCCTGCTAGGCATAGCTCCTCTGGTCACTTCAGCCTCTAAGCTGCACATATTTAAACCATTGTTCTCCTCTTTTCTTCCTCCTAAGCCTGTTCTTGTTATTCAGGAAGGTGGAACTACTACTACTAGATCTACTGATCCTTCAGAGAAGCCAGAAATCCAGAATTTTGGATGTTTTATCTCTTGTTCTGTTACTTTGTGTGTGTATGTGATTTGCCAGTCATACCATTTGTCCCCTGTAAGAAACCAGTTTATAATGTTTGATCCACAGACTGAAGAGAAAATAATTTTTCTTATTTAGCTGCTGCTGTACCATGTACTCTCATTTAATCCTCATTCCAGGCCTCTTAGGGTAGTCATCTTTGTATTAGATTCAATCAGAAAAGCAAAGTCACTATGAATATTAAAGAACAAGGAATTATTACAGGAATAAGATTTTACATAGTTGCAGATGAAGATGGAGGAGGAGTAAGGGTCTGAAACAAGTAGTTGTTGGATTGGGAAAAAGCCACTGGCAAGCCCTTCTGAAGCACTGATGCAGGTGGGCACGTGAGGCTTTGCGGGGAAATCTGGAAAGCCAGGTCCATCCAGCTGCCAGAATGGTGGGGTCTGTGGAGGGCTGTTGCTCCTGCATCCATTTATGAACCCGGTGTCACAGGGGCAGAAAGTAAGAAAAATTTGTAATTCAAGTATATGGGAGCATAAGGTCAAGCAAGAATCAGCCAGCACCTCTGCCTTTGTCTCTTACCACCCCTAGAAACAACCTGGGCAGTGGCTGCTGCTTCACTTCCACCTTACAAATCTTATACAGATTTCTCTGGCTTCAGGCCATACAGGAAGTTCTAGCTTAGACAAGTTATATAGTGCAAAACCTCTGCAATAATTATTGTCATTTACTCAGAGACCTGAAATTATTATAGGCTGGAGAGTGGGTAATGTGTTCTCCAAGTGTTCCTACATGTCTCTTCACCTCTGGATTTTGCTAGTACTCTTTATTTATTTATTTTTTTTGTCTGAAATGCTTCCCCTCCACCTGCTTTTCCTTGTTTCCCTTTTCTTAATCTTTACAGTTTTTCCTGTCTTTCTATGCTTGGTTCCAGTGTCACATTCTCTGAAAATTTTATCATCTAGTGTCATTTCCCTGCCCCAGCCCTAAGCAGTTCCTCCTTTTTCTCCATTTCCTTATATAATCCTTGGTTCATACCATTTTCCTGACATTTATCTCGGTTTACTTGATTTTCTCTGCTAAAACTGATCTTGTCTTTTTCATGTCTTACTCCGTATGCCCTTGTATGTCATAATGTTCAGTGAGTATTTAATGAATTGGTTATCCTGTGTTCTACTCTGTATCTCAAACCTGAGAAGGCTGAATTTGTGATGTGTGCCTCTGCTACAGTTCGGTAATAATCAAGTTTCTTATTGTGCTTCTCTTCCTAATTCTGCTGTCTAAATGTTATTTAACACATTTTTTGTTGTTTGTTTGTTTGTTTTTTAATTCACGCGTTCTTCTCCAGCTGCTGCCTAGCCTGGAGCCTATTTGTCATGAAAACTAAACAGGCATGTTATACCCTTCTAGACCCTGGTCATGTGATGAGTCCATTTATCCTAGTGATTCTCTTATGATGGTATAATTTGTGTGCTTTGCAAGAATTGGATTTCCCTGCTTTTCTAGGATTAAAACTATTTGTTCTCTCAGAATGCATAATAAAAAAGTAAAAGTTCAGATAAATTAATTAGATTCCATTATTCTTTTAAAATATCTCTACTCTTTAATCCAGAAGAGAAATAATAGTAAACTCTTTGGCCTGATTTCATCGAAGTATTCAACTTCTTTGAATTTACCTCACTTGACCCTTTTCATGTGAAGTATAAAACGGTGTGCTTATTTATGTACGTAATTATTTCTCTTTCTACATTATGTGTTGACCATTTCGAGTTATACGTTTCAGAGCACCTCGATTATTTGGTGTATACAAATAAATACTACTTAGAGAATGCTTAAAATTGAGCTGTACTACCCAATGGAAGCAATAATTAACTTTTAACTGTGCTACATTTTTAAAATATAAGTAAATCAGCACAAAGAAGCAGAGTCAGGAACACCTTTAGCCGACACCTGGAGGAACTGGAAAAGATTGTTTAAAGAGAACCTCTATCGTCCCTTCCTTGATGTTTTATGACTGAGATATTGTACATACATTAATTATCCATATAACCAAAGAATATCACTTTAAGTGGCAAACTTTTAGTAATTTCAGAAGGAAATCTTATTTGTATGTGCCTTAGTATTTTTACTTTTAATGCGTCTGAGGAGGGAGGCTATTTTTTTCCATTCTCTCTCTGTTTTTATTGTTTATGCTATTATAGTTGTCCCACTTTGTACCCCATTTCTCCCCTCCATCCAGCCCACCCCCGTTTTCCATAGTCAGTCCCCTCATCATTGTCCATGTCCGTGGTTCTTCATATACGTTCTTTAACTAATCACTTCCCCTTTTTTTAATCAGTCCCCACCTCACCCTCCCCACTTACAGCCATCAGTTTGTTTCATGTTTCTGTGTGTCTGGTTCTACTTTGCTCATTAGTTTATTTTGTTTATTAGATTCCTCTTATAAATGAGGTCATATGGTATTTGTCTTTCACCAACTGGCTTTTTTCACTTAGCATAATAGTCTCCAGTTTCACCCATGGAGTTGTAAATGTAGAAATTCCTTCTTTCTTTCTGCTGTGTAGTATTTCATTGCATAGAAGTACCACAGTTTTTCTCTCTACTCATCCACTGATGGGCACTTAGGCTGTTTCCAGGTCTTGGCTATTGTAAATAGCACTGCTGTGATCATAGGGGTGCATAAATTCTTTTGAATTGGCGGTTCAGGAGTCTTCAGGTGTATTCCCAGAAGTGGAATCACTGGGTCAAAAGACAGTTCCATTTTTAGTTTTTTTGAAGAAATGCCATACTGTTTTCCACAGTGGCTGCATTCTCATCAGCAGTGCACTGGGGTTCCCTTTCCTTCACATTCTCACCAGCACTCGTTTGTTGATTTATTAATGATAGCCTTTTTGGCATCATTAATGGTGCCAGTGGTATAAGGTGATATCTTATTGTGGTTTTAATTTGCGTGTCTGTGATTGCTAATGATGTTGAGCATTTTTTCATGTGTGCGGGACATCTGTATGTCCCATTAAAAAAATGTCCCACACACATAAATAGACACTCCTCCTTGGAGAAATGTCTATTGAAGTCCTTTGCCCGTTTTTTAAGTGGATTATTTGTCTTCCTGGTGTTGAGTTGTACAGATTCTTTATACATATATTTTGGAGATTAAGCCCTTGTCTTATGTATCACTGGCATATATGTTCTCCCATACAGTCAGTTCCCTTTTCATTTTGATGATGGTTTCTTTAGCTGTGCAGAAGGCTCTTAGTTTGATGTTGTCCCATTTGTTTATTTTTTTCTTTATTTCCCTTGCCTTGGGAGATATATTGGCAAAAATATTGCTGTGTGAGATATCTGAAATTTTACTGCCTATGTTTTCCTCTAGGATTTTTATGGTATCACCATTTATATTTAAATTTCATATCCATTTTTATTCTGGTGTATGATGGAAGTTGGTGATCTAGTTTCATTTTTTTCAAGTAACAGTCCACTTCTCCCAACACCATTTATTGAAGAGACTCTCTTTACTCTATTGTATGCTCTTGCCTCCTTTGTCAAATGTTATTTGACCATGAAGACATAGGTTTATTTTTGGGCTCTGTTCTGTTCCATTGATCTGTGTGTCTGTTCTTATGCCAGTATCAGACTGTTTTGATTACAATGCTTTGGAGTATAGTTTTATACCAGGTATTGTGATCCCTCCAATTTTGTTCTTCTTTCTCATGATTGCCAAGGCTATTTTGGGTCTCTTTTGGTTTTGTATAAACTTTTGGAATATTCTAAATCTGTGAATTATGACTAGCATCTTAATAAGAATTGTGTTGAATCTATAGATTGCTTTGGGTAGTATGAATATTTTAATGATTCACAAACATGGTATATGCTTCCACTTATTTGTATCTTCCTCAATTTCTTTCTTCAGTGTCCAGTAGTTTTTTGAGTACAGGTCTTTAATGTGGCTCAGTTGATTGGGTATGTCCCACAAATGTAGAATAGAGGAAGACTATTTTCCTACCTTCTTCAGCCAAGGTATACTGAACACAATTTAACCTTTTCTTGATGAATTCAAATCATTACTGTGAGAAACAATTTTTGTACTTTAATATAATGGTGTAATACTCTTGAAATTTTTAAAAGCTTGTAGGAATTGTTGATCTAATCTTATTTGGCTCCCAAGAAGATGTTCTATTTGAGTTCTTGTACCCGCTGTTGTATCATATTCCTTAATTTACTTACTATTGAGATGTTAACTGTGCTTCCTTGTTGTTTTTATGCCTAACATACTGCTTTTAATGTAGGCTTTTGAAACTAGTTTTGTAGAATTTTATGTGAAACAAGAGCCTCTTAGGGATGAATTTTAGTAAATGTAGTTTAGCTTAAGTATAGACTTTGTAATTACTTTTTATGACTACTCAGAGCTCAAATTTCAGGAGTTAATATTTTCAAAATTGGGTGATTTAGGCAAAGTAAAAAATATTTTTACTTTGAATTGTGTGAGTTTGCTTTAAAGAATCCTAACAAGTAATTTGGATAGTAACAATTTAGTGTTTCATTTTACTTTTTGGTAGTTAGTTTTAAAGATGACATACTATGAGATGCTTTATATTTAATGATCATATAATACCAGAAGTTATGTCTAAGTTTTCATGAAAGAAAAGTTGAAACTAGTGGGTTAGTGAAGAGGAGATAAGTTGTGGTTGCTTAATAGAAGTTATTCTAGAAGGTTATAATAATTTTTTTTTAATTTTCTGTTTTAATTTACTCATGACTAGCATAAATCTCCCAACTAATTGGGAAAAATTCTAAAGATTTAATAGTTCTTACTGACAGTAATCCATTTGATTTGATAGCTGCCTTAAGTTCTCTATAGTGAATGCTCACTTTTCCTTTTACAGAGAACACATCCAAGATTTGTAACAGCAGAAGGAAAGTTACAGGATGAGGAATATTAGGAACTGTCATCTACTTAAATAGCTGAAATAAATAAAAATCACTAAGTGAAATGGTAGTAAATAAAAAATATAAGTATTTTTAAATTGTTTGGAAATGACAAAACATAGTGCCAATGGAAAGTGTTGTTTCCTTTCTTTATGGAAAAGTACTAACTTTTTATTTCCTAGGAAAGTAATTAGCTTTGTGGGCATTTTGGTTTTTATTGCTACTGTAACATTTTTACTACAAACTTCGGGGTATAAAAGAACAGGAATTTATTCTCTTACAGTTCTGGAGGGCAGAAGTCTAAACCTCAACAGGGCTGGTTACTTCTGGAGGCTGCAGGGGAGAATCTGTTCATTTGCCTCATCCAGCTTCTGGTGGCTGCCACCATTCCTTGACTGGTTGCCAAATCACTCTAGTCCCTACTTCCATAGTCATGTTGCCCCTTCTTTATGTAGTTTAATCTCTTCTGCCCTCCTTTTATAAGGACCCTTGTGGTTATATTTAGGGCCTACCCAGGTGATCCAGGATGAACTCCCCTTCTCAAGATCCTAAACTTAATCACATTTGCAAAGTTCTTTTTGTCATATATAGTAACATGCACATGTTCCAGGGATGAGGATCTGGATATCATCAGAGGGGCCTTATTCATTCTACGGTAGTGAGTATGGATACTCACTTTCCATCTACTTCCAGCTACAGTTTTCTTTTCTCCTACCCACACATACTCTCTTCCTCCTCCCTCACTCAAACTTTTTTTCCTTAAATTTCTTAAGCTGACTAAGCATCACATCTGTATACTAGCTTCTGGCTTGTGTGTGTTATATGTGAAAATTAGCCTGTAGCTTCAGACAGATGAAAGCTCAATTCATAACAAATATACTATCTTTAAGGGGATTAAAATCAGACTCAGGTGGCGGAGTCCTATACAGGGAATAATAGTTTGTCCTGCATTTTAGTTCCCACTCTGCCATTAACTGTTTAATTTTGAACAAGTTCTTAGTCTCCCCAAGCCTTACTTATTTTTGTAAGTAAAGTGTTTCTTACTATTTTAAATTATTTTCAGTTATTTTCTTTTTCATCAAATTAATATTAAAAACTTTAGTGCTAGTGACTATTTAAAATTATTGTCTTTTAAATTTAAATTATTTTTTTGTATTTTTTAGAGTTATTTAACCACTTTTTTCCTCTAACCATTTTATATCATTTTGCTAGGTGTCTGTTTCGAAGTATAATGTATGGTTTTGATTAATAGGAGGATCCACTTTTTGTGGCATTGCATCACTGTGTCTCATGGGGAAACTAGAAGAAGTTTTTTCAGAAAAGGAATTGAACAGGATAAAGAGATGGTGTATAATGAGGCAACAAAATGGTTATCATGGAAGACCAAATAAGCCTGTAGATACCTGTTACTCTTTTTGGGTGGGAGCAACTCTAAAGGTAAGAGAAATAATAAAAATTAGAAACCTATATTCTTTGTTAATATCAACTGTGTTTAATGGGTTTGGTATTGGTACTGTTCATCAAATAATTGTTAAGTTTAAGCTACTGCTTTTCTTGTTGCTCTGGCAAAGCTAGTATCTATATGATTTTTTGATAGAATCTGTTGTTACAGTACAGTTATCTGTTGTACTACTTGAAAATGTCCATTTTTATAAAATTCAGGTGGCCCAAAACCTAGTTAAGAAAGTAGGTGTAAGATCATAAAAAACTTGTTACTAAAACTGATCAGTAGTTCATTTAGAGCAAGGATCTGTCTGAACATAGCAGTAAAGATTTTATAGGAAGATATTCATCTTAAAAGATAAATTATGGGTCTGTTTTTTTAATCATTTAAGGTTTTCTATTTTTTATTAATTTATTTGTGTAAACCTTCTGAAATGTATTGGTTGATATGTTTATGCATTTTCCCCCATCTCTACTACATTCTGATTTACATAATTCCAAAAGGTTATTTAGCTACTGAATACCTACATGTTTTCTTTTTCTAAAAATTGCCTTCAACCTTAGAAAGCATCACCTAGTTCTGCATCCTGGAACCTATTCTGAATTCTAACAAAAGTCTATGTTCATCTTCTATAGTTTCCTAATTTTTTCTCTTAGACATAATTCATACACATGTTGAAATAAGTTTGGAAAACAGAATGATTTTAAATGAAGGCAAGAGCCTCCCTCTCTCCCGCAGTATTTTTAATTTTTTTTTTAATTATGGAAAATGTCAGTATATCGAGAAGTAGAAGGAATAGTATATAATGAATCCCTGTACATCCTAGAGCCAGCCTTCCTTCATCCACACTCGTATCCACTGCTCTCCCCTCCATTTATTATATTTTAAGGCAAATCCCAGATACTGCTTTTATATAATTTGGAAATGTTTCAGTATACTTGCTGAAGAAAAATACGTTTGTTTGTTTTTTGTGTTTTTTTTTAAAGAAATGCAGTATTATTGTCACATTTAAAAAATTAGCCATGAGCTTCTGACTTCTGGCCAAGATGGGCGTGTAGGTAAACACACTGTGCCTCCTTGCACAACCAGAAGTACAATAACAAATTTAAAAGCAAAAAACAACCAGAACTGACAGAAAATCAAACTGTAGGGAAATTCGACATCCAAGGAGTTAAAGAAGAAACATTCATCCAGACCAGTAGGAGGGGCGGAGATGGGCAGTGGGGCGGAGAGGACTTGCGGCAAGGCTGCAGCTAGAGGACCCAGCAAAGGGGTGGACTGAGGACGAGGTGGTCCCACATTTGTGTGCAGATAAACCAGGAGGGACAATTGGCGAGTGAGACAGACCACGCAACCCAGAATTCCAGTGTAGGGAAATAAAGCCTCAAAACCTCCGAGTGTAAAAACCTGTGGGGGCTGCAGCAGCAGGAGAAACTCTCAGACTCACAGGAGAGTTTGTTGGAGAGACCCACAGGGTCCTAGAATGTACACAAGCCAACCCAGGAATCGGCACCAGAGGGGCCCAATTTGATTGTGGGCAGTGGGGGAAGTGACTGAAATCCTGCAGAGAGTGGAACAAGTGGCATTGTTCCCTCTTGGATCCCTCCCCCAGAAACAGCCACAGTGCAGTGATGTGTGTTGCCCTGCCCTGGTGAATACCTAAGGCTCCACTTCTTACTATATAACAGGTGCACTGAGACAAAAAAAAAAAAAAAAAAAAATTGGACCAAATGAAAGGACAGATCAAAGCTCCAGAAAAAGCACAACTAAGCAATGAAGAGGTAGCCAACCTATCATGTGCACAGTTCAAAACTGGTAATCATGCCCGCTTCGGTAGCACATATACTAAAAAACACCGGTACTCAGGATGCTCACAGAATTGGTTGCATATGGTCACAAATTAGCAGAAAAAATGAAGGCACTGCTAAGTAAAATAAAGGAAAATGTATAGGGAAACAACAGTGACAGGAAGGAAACCAGGACTCAATAGTGTGGACCAGAAGGAAGAAAGAAACATCCAGTCAGAAAACAATGAAGAAACAATAATTCAAAAAAATGAGAAGAGGCTTAGGAACCTCCAGGACATCTTTAAACATTCCAGCATCTGAATCATAGGGGTCCCAGAAGGAGAAAGGAAGAGCAACAAATTGAAGCTTATTTAAACAAATAATGGAGAACTGCCCCAATCTGGCAAAAGGAAATAGAATTCCAGGAAGTCCAGGAAGCTCAGAGAGTCCCAAAGAAGTTGGAACCAAGGAGGAACACACCAAGGCACATCATAATTACACTACCGAAGATTAAAGAGAAAGAGAAAATCTGAAAAGTAGCAAGAGAAAAGGAGACAGTTATCCTCAAAGGAGTGCCCATAAGACTGTCAGCTGATTTCTCAAAAGAAACCTTGGAGGCAAGAAAGGGCTGGAAAGAAGTATTCCAAATCATCAAAAGCAAGGACCTACATCCAAAATTATGCTACCCAGTAGTTAAGATTACTTAACTACTTCTAAGTGTACAATTCATTGGCATTAATTACATTTGCAATGTTTTGTAACCATTACTTCTGTCTACACCCAGAAATTTTGCATCATCCTCAGTATAAGCACTGTACTCATTAAATAGTAACTCTCCATTCTTTCCTCCTTCCAACCCCTGGTAACTTCTGTCCTACTTTCTGTCTCTCTGAATTTGCCTATTCTAGGTGTGTCATACAAATGGGATTATATAATATGTGTTCTGTGTCTAGTTTATTTCACTTAGCATAAATGTTCTGAGAGTCTGTCCATGTTGTATCACATATCAAAATAATCATTCTTTTTTATGGCTGAGTAATATATTTTGTTTATGTATTTATCTATTGATAGACATTTGAATCATTTTCACCTTTTGGGTATTGTAGATAAGGTGGCTATATAGTCAGTAATACTGTAATATTTATATATGGCCTTAGGTGGGTACTTGACAAGTATGATCATTTTATAAAGTATATAAATGTCTAGTCACTGTGTTGTACATCTGGAACTAATATTATGTGTCAACTGTAATCAAAAAGTAAATTTAAACAAAGAAAAGGTGGCTTTGAACATTTAGGTACAAATTTCTATTCAAGTCCTTGCTTTCATTTCTTCTGGATGTTTACCTAGAAATGGAATTTCTGGATCATACAGTCAATTCATGTTTAACTTTTTGAGGAACCACCAAACTTTTTCCACAGCAGCTACATCATTTTACATTCTCACTAGCAGTGTACGTGGGTTCAAGTTTCTCTACAATTTCATGAACACTTGCATATTTTTTAATCAGGTGGTTTTCTTATTGCTGGGTTTTACACATTATTTATGTATTCTGGATATTGATTCTTTATCAAGATAAATGATTTGCAGATACTTTCTCCCATTTCTTGGTTATCTTTTTACTCTCTTGATAATGTCCTTTGATGCACAAAAGTTTTTTAGTATGATGAAGTCTAATTTACCTATTTTTTCTTTTGTTGCTTATACTCTTGGTTGTCATATCCATGAAATCATTGCCAAATCCAATGTCAAGCAGATTTACCACAATGCTTTCTTCTAACAGTTTTATAGGTATAGCTCTTGAGTTTAGGTCTTAAATCTATTTCAGTAAATTTTTATATATGGTATAAATAAGGGCCCAGCCTCATCATTTTACATGTGGACATTCAGCTTTTTCAATATCATTTGTTGAAAAGTTGACTTTTAGATCCTTCTGATGGGACCTTGATAATCTTTGACACTAAAGGCGACCACTTTTAAACCTTTTTTAAAAACTAATTCTTATTGATAACTTTATATAATATGTTAATTTCTTAACTCATCACCTTTAGACATTACCTTTGATTCCCAACTATGAAAAATGAAACAACCCTAGCTGGTATAGCTCAGTGTATTGAGCGTAGGTCTGCGAACCAGAGGATCGTGGTTCGATTCCCAGTCAGGGCACATGTCTGGGTTGCAGGCCAGTTTCCAGCAGGGGATGCACTAGAGGCAACCATACATTGGTGTTTCTCTCCCTCTCTCCTTCCCCTCTAAAGATAAATCTTTTAAAAAAATGAAAAATGAAAATTTAGCCTCCCTTTTTTCAGGGAGTTACAACTAGTTTTCTCAGGGTTGGGGGGAGATTGTTAGTTTTTTAGTTCTGAGCCTTTTCTCCTCTTTCACCTTATGATTTAGTCAGTTTGCCTTTACTTTTGTAATGTCAAATTCGGTAACATTGTGTTTTGTACAGTAATAATAAAATATTTTATGCTTAGCCTATAGGTTGACTCTAAAATTTAAAAACTAATAATCACTTAGTATGATTAGGTAAATATTGTTTTTTGCTGAACTAAGTATAGTGTTAAAATTGTTTCTTTTAGCCCTGGCTGGTGTAGCTCAGTAGATTGAGCACAGGCCTGCGAACCACACGATTGCGGTTCGATTCCCAGTCAGGGCACATGCCTGGGTTGTAGGCCAGTTCCCAGCAGGGGACTCATGGCAGGCAACCATACATTGATGTTTCTCTCCCTCTCTCCCCTTCCCCTCTAAAGATAAATAAATAAAATCTTTTTAAAAAATTGTTTCTTTTTATGTAATAATCCATGTGCCACTTGATGGAAAATATTTCCAACATCAGGATTCTAAAGATTCTTTCCATATATATTTTTTCAATTATATTTTATTGTTTATGCTACTGCAGTTGCCCACATTTTTTCCCCTTTGCCCCACTCCACTCAGCCTTTCTCCACTCTCAGGCAGTCCCTCAACCTTTGTTTATGTCCACTGGCCAAGCATATATGTCCCTTGGCTATAGTATTCCTTATGCTGTACTTTACAACCCCATGACTCTTCCATAGATACCAACTTGTACTTCAAAATCCCTTCACCTTTTTCACCCGTCCACCCAAACCCCATACCATCTGGCATCAAAACGTGCTCTGTGTCCGTGATTCTGTTTCTGTTCTGCTCACTCGTTTATTTTGTTCTGTAGGTGCAATTGTTGATAGGTATACAGGATCTGGCACAAATAATGCCCCTTTTTATTACAAAATCTTTTATTACAGAATCATATGCATGTAAGTCTGTAACATAATATCACACTCAAGCACGCCATACGACATTTTAGGTGAAATGCCTAAATTAAAACTATAAATTATTGCACCCATATTACTACCCTACCAGCCACACTCAAGTGGGTGTTACTTCTGCTGACCCAGTATATTTATTGCCATTTTATTGTTCATGTTTTCAATATTCTTCTTGAAGAAGACCCTTTAACATTTCATATAATATTGGTTTGGTGGTGATGAACTCCTATTTCTTTCTTTCTTTTTTTTTTTTTTTTTTTAGTCTGGGAAGCTTTTTATTTGTCCTTTAATTCTAAATGATAGCTGTACTGGGTAGAAATAGCCTTGGTTGTAGGTTCTTGCTTTCTGTCACATTGAATATTTCTTGCCAGTTTCTTCTAGTCTGCAGTTTCTTTTGAGAAATCAGCTGACAGTCGTATGGGAACTCCCCTGTCGGTAACTTAACTGCTTTTCTCTTGCTGCTTGTTAAGATTCTCTGTCTTTAACCTTTGGCCTTTTAATTATGATCTGTCTTGCTGTGAGCCTCTTTGGGTTCATCTTATTTGGAACTCTGTGCTTCCTGGATATGTATGTCTTCTTCCTTCACCAAATCAGGGAAATTTTGTCATAATTTTTTCAAGTAGGTTTCCAATTTCTTGCTGTCTCTCTTCTCTTTCCAGTACCCCCATGATGTGAAAGTTGTGGTGCTTGAAGTTGACCCATAGGCTCCTTACACTATCCTCATTTTCTTGAATTCTTTTATCTTCTTGTTCTGATTGGTTTTTATTTTTTGCCTCCCTATATTCCAATAGCTGATTTGATTCTTGGCTTCATCCACTCTTACGGTTGATTCCCTGTAAACTGTTCTTTATTACAATTAGTCTACCCTTCGTTTCTGACTGGATCTTTTTATGCTGTCGAGGGCCTCACTAAGTCCATTGAGCATCCTTATAATCAGTGTTTTGAACTCTGTATCTAGTAGGTTGCTTATCTCCATTTTGTTTAGTTCTTTTTATGGAGTTTTGATCTGTTCTTTCATTCGGGCCATGTTTCTTTGTCTCCTCATTTTGGCAGCCTCTCTGTGTTTGCTTTTATGTATTAAGTAGGGCTGCTACATCTCCCAGGCTCAGTAGAGTGGCCTAATGTAGTAGATGTCCTTTAGGGTCCTGTGTCACTGCCTCACTTATTACCCAAGCTGATTACTCAAGATGAGCCCACCATGTGGGCTGTGTACACCCTCTTCTTGTATTTGAACTTTGATTGCTCTTGGGAATCACATCCAAGGTCAGCCACTGCCTGTTTTGTATCCAGAGTCACAAAGTATAAGCTACAAAGCAGTCTGCAGATGGCTTCTACTTGTGCTGGGCTTGGAGGTGCACAGGTGAGGCCAAGCCATGAACCAAGGCCAGCTGCTAGTAGTGCCAGGCCTGGGGCATCTTAGAGGTGAAGCCAGGTGTTTCTTGGCATGGGCCACGACAAGCCATTTATATGGAAAAGCCACTGAAAACTGTTTGGACAGGCCTGAAAGTTGGCTGGGACCAGGACCCCCAGGAAATCTCCAGGGTTGGACAACAGTAATAGCCGGGTTAATAGAATCTCGAATATGGTGCCCACTTGCTCTGTGAGGGGAGGGCTCAGAAAAGGAACAATGGCCTCTGCCAGCATTTTCGTCTAGGAGAAAGCTGCCTCCCAGCTCTCACCCTGATGCCAGACAATTCAGGTCCTCCCCATATGTCTCTAATGCCTTTCAATCTGCTACCCTGCACTGGAGCTCAGAAGGGGTAAATAAGTCCATGTGAGGCCCATTTAAGAGGAATTGCCTGGGATTTCAGCAGTTTCTGTGTCACACAGCCTCAATCCCCACTGGTTTTTATAGCCAGAATTTATGGAGACTTTTTTCTTGGCACTGGAACCTGGATGGGGCTGGGACTCCATCACTCCTGAGATATCCCTCCTGATTCTTATCTGCTACACATTGGTATGGAATCAGCCCCTTCTGCATCTTTGCCCCTCCTAATAGTCTCTATGTGGTTTATCCTTTAATTCTGTATTTGTAGGAATTCCATATAGCTCAATTTCTGGTGGTACTGGATGATGGTTGTTCTACAGTTTAGTTTTAATTTTGATGTGGTTGTTTAAGAGGTAAACCATGTTTACCACACTGCCATCTTAACCAGAAGTTTTTCCATATATTCTATTAATTAAATTAAAATGAGTAAGTTTATTTCTTATTTGTACATAAGTTTTTTATTAGGGTTTTTTGTTTTGTTTTGTTTTGTTTTTTTAGTTTTGAAATATCTTCTGTGCCCCTCTGAGTCACTAACAAACTTTCAATGCTTTGTGTCTTAGAGAAATTTCTTGAACTCCCTTGCCTACCACTCACCATCCCCTTCTTTTTACATTTGAGTTAGCCTTCACTTTTTCTATTCAGTGGGATTTAAGAGAGAACAAATAATACATGTCCCAAATCTGTAAGCTGCACAGTTTTTATGCTAAAGTTATATCTGTGTCACCTTTTATTTTTCATAATTAAAGAACTACACATTGTTTTATTCTCAAACAGAACTGTCTCTAGCATCTGGTTAATAATTTTTGTTGCTCTTTTTTGAGATATTTTTAGTTCTGGCTGCTATGAGTTTGCAACTTACTTGCTCAGAAGCTTATCATAAGAGTTAAAATATGGATAGATAAAATTGTACTTTTTTAAATGACTGGAGAAGAAGTTGAACATATTGGGGAATAGCTGTGTCTCGAACCTAGCTAGAAGTGATACAAAGAGATTACATGGGCATGGTTCAAAAACAGTGAGTGGGTCAAGAAATCAGGACAGTAGATTTGATTGGATAATAAAAAAGATAATGTGCTCAAGTCACCAGGCGCTTACTCTGAGAGCCTTAGCTAGGAAAAAGCATATTTAAATGATACATATCAGAAAATTGAGCCCATGGTCAATATGAAAGTTTATGCCAGTAAATTTGTATATCATGTCATTTCAGCTTCTGAAAATTTTCCAATACACTAACTTTGAGAAAAATAGAAATTACATCTTATCAACTCAAGATCGCCTCGTAGGGGGATTTGCCAAGTGGCCAGATAGTCATCCAGGTAATTTGTTTTCTGTGTGAATCCAGAACAGTTTTTCGTCACATTAAATAATGTTTTTAAAAAGGTAAATTGTTAAGTTTATGGGACTTGGGGTATTGAAAGTATAGAGGAAGGGTTTGATTACAGGCTGCATACTCTAGTGTAAAACTGCCTGCTGAGTAACCCTGCAGATGCCATCTATAAGCCATTTACACTGTGCCTACCAACAGAACTCAGTATCTCCATGTCCTACCTGACCTCAAAACAGTCGTGGCACTGGACCCAAGTTCAAGCCCAGGATTCAGCAGAAGTCTTATCGTGTCTTCCTGCCGCTAGTCTAGTCCCCTCATAATGACACTTTGTGTGTGTGTCTGTATATGTGCTTAAATGAGAGGAGGGGGACCAAAGTTTTTTTCAGACTTTCAAAGGGATCTTTGATGAAAAAAAAAAAAAAGATTAAGAACCTCTAATCTAAACTCTTCTATTAGATCTATTTTAAAAAGTCAAACACTTTCACAGCGCTCATAGTCGGTTCTTTGGCGTGGCACACAAGGAGGCCCTCCTGGTATTTGGTTCCTCCCTCACCTCTAGCATCATTTCAGGCTACTGGCCCCCTCTCCCTTATGTTTTTACCTCCAGCAAAATGAATCTATTTATAGCTTCAAAAAACAGTGGAGAATTTAAAATAATTCAGAACACTGATATGTTTGATAAGCAAGTTGACAAATTATTACCTATAAATACATGGAATTATAGTCAAGGAATGATCAATTTTGTATAGCACAGTAGAATTGTGGGTCTTATTATTAGTCTAGAATTTCTTCAGGTCGTCTCCTGTCATAGAACTGCTGTGGTCAGAATTTGTACTTGAATCAGAATATAAATAGGGGCTCATGAAATCATATTTTTATACTTGAAATGAGCAAGAATATTTCTTTACATCCATACTTAATTTGTATTTTCATTCAAAATATTCTTTAGAAAAAATGTACAATGCTTTTAATTTCTAAAGTAAAATAATAAAGATTTTTGGTATGTACAACATATGACCATAGATATGTTAGAAAAGTGACTCAAGAAAATAATTATTTTGGTCTGCATGCCATTGTTCTCAGTCACTGCATGATACTATTTTAACAAATAATGGGAATAGGGAAATGACAGTCTCTTGGAAAGCATTTCTTATACAAGCATACTTAAAATACATTTTGAGTATTTACAGTAGCTTTTTTTAAAAGAAAATTCCTGAAGCTGTTTTCTTGGGAGCTCAGCTTCTAACTTTAACATTTGTGTTGTCACAAATGTTAAAGTTAGAAATGTTATAACACAAATGTTATACTTGGTTGTCATACTTTCTATGGGTATGTTACTATGTCTTCAGAGCCGTACACTACAGAGCATAGAAAATCTTTATATAAGTTGAACTCATGTTGATGGACCTGTTCCTAGAGCCTTTATTTATAAAAATAATTTTAACAAGTCTTTAAAATTAGCTGATTTTTGGTCCTAATAAGTCTAGCGGCATATTTGACACAGAGAGATTTTATATACTTTATAGAGGAAATAGTGGTTTTTATGGAAAAAAAAACATTCAACATGTAAAGTGCTTGAATACATTACCATTCACCGATAAGGAGTTTTGTTTTGTTTTTTAACTATTTGAGGTTTGAGGCAGTTAACTGCTGGTTCATTGGATTTTACAAAAATCTTTTTAAGAAAAATGTAAGTTAATTTTTACATTAACTGGAAAGTGTAAGGCCCTATTTTATGTTATTCTGGATGTATTTTAATTATCTTTCTACGGCATTCTTCTTCTACTGTATTTTATTTCTCTTTTCTACTGCAAAAGTTTCTTCACTTTTAGATAGTAAAATTTAATGTTGCTTTGTCTTTTATAACTTTAGAATAGCTACAAGGAGCATATAATAGTTCAGGGAAATTAAATTTGTATGTGTGATTTGAAAAAGGAAAATAAGCCAGAAGAAATCCAAGCATTCTTTGAAAAGACAAAGAAGGGCCTCCATTAGTGAAATAACTTTTTCACAAATAACACTGTGTAAGCACAACTATTGGTTTTCCTGTTTTGAAAAGTAAATGATACTAGTGTAAGTAGAAAACTTTTTCTTTAATTCTTTTGAAAAGTTTGACTTAGATGTTTTGAACTTTAATATTTAATAGCTCTTGAGGTCATAAATGATGGCCAGATCAAAAAAATAGAAAAATATTTTTTTACTGCTACAAAACCTGTATTTTGTAGTGTTCCTATAACTGTGGAAGAACACATAAGGCCCTTGGGCAAGCAACAGCCGTGTGATTTCAGTGGTCACTTGAATGGAAGAGGGTTGCTGACCCCTGAAGGACAGTAGTGAGGACAGTGTAGAAGAATTGTTATTCTATAAGCACTCACATTATTATAGCCAAGTAGAATGTAAGCTTGTTTTTGTTGTTAGGTCATATATTTTTGGAATGACTGATATCATCCTAAATTGGAAAGTTAAATATGGTACAGCATTCCAGAATAGATTGTTTTGCTTAACTGCCTTTCATGTAACACAATATTAGGATAGAATATAGCTTAGGAACTTTAAGAAATAAGGGTAAGGGTACTTTTACCAAGATTCAGCGGTTTGTTTCTTTTAGTTTTTAAGAAAAAATTTTTCCTTTTATGATAATAAAGTTAAACTCATTTCCATATTCTGTAGTAAGCAAATGAGAAAACCCACTAAAGTGAGTAGTCTTTTTTATTAGTGCTACTCTTCTTTTTTGTCCTTTAATCGCAAAGAATGTTGGGGTATCTCTTCTTCAGTTAGGAACTGAATGTTCATGTTATTGTCTGAATCAGTTATCAGACAATATTTGTCCTTTGTTAATGTTACTGTCTTCAATCAAATAACATCTGATTTTGATTACCTGGTTATTTAAAAATTAGTGTTTGAGACTTTGTGAAAGCAAATATGTCAAAAGTATATTTAGAATTTTTCTAAATTTATTTCTAATGTAGTGATGGGCTGATAGATATATAGCTAAAGTATTTTGTAGCATGTACAAATCAGAATGCCTATTGTGATTAAAAAATGGTTCATTTTCAGATGCTTTGCATGCATACTTTGGAATTTGTGGCCTGTCGTTGATGGAGGAACATGGAATTTGTAAAGTCCATCCTGCCCTGAATGTCAGCACACGGACCTCTGAACGCCTTCGTGATCTCCATCAGAGCTGGCGAGCCAAGGACTTGAAACAGTGCTCAGAGAATGTACACATCTCCTCATGACTGACTTTAGGTGGGGAGCGGGGGGATTTGTACCATAACTTAGCGCAAGGTTAAAAGCCATTGTATAACCAAGTGTGCTCTTTTTTTAAGAGTTAGAGTCTTACAATCAAATCTTGTGCTAATGTCACTTTGGGTATGGTCTTGAGCCAGTATTTGTAGTGGGTTTCAGGAAAATCTTTGAATTTTGAACTACAGTGGACTATCTTGTGGTTCTTAAGTGTTTATACTATATTTCTAAGAAGTTCTTTTGAGAAAAATTAACAGTATGTATGTAGGTTATCTTTTTTAAAACTTCCTTACAAATTGTATTATATTGTAAAATGGATGCAAATCTTCAAAATAAGTTTACAGTTCATGTAGCATTGATAATCTTTGGGTGGATAATTAGTGATCATTTTGAAAGCTTGAGCACTGATGCTAGAAAATTGCTTTAATCATTAAATATCTGGGATTATTCTTTGAAAACAAATGATCCTATAATTTTTAAAAAGAATGACTTAATTTGTTTTATTCTTAAGTGTGTGCCAGTTAAACTTGTATGGCCTACTTAATGAAGTTTAACTTCATAGCAAGAATGAACAGGCTTAACTAATACAGTTGTTTTCTAAAGGGAGATTGTTTTAAGAAGACTATTATGTAACTGAGTGGAAAGTAATTTAACTGTATGTGAAAGTGAATGGAAAAGTTTTGTGTTGTGCAGGTCATTTATTTAGATGTTGCTGGGCTGAATAACAGTTACTTTTGATTTTAATCTCAAATTATTAGTTGCTTTCTTTATGGGTAGAAAACAGTATTATCTGGAAGGAAAGATGTTTAGTGGTTTTGTTTATTTTTCTGAGATGTGTGGTATTATAAATTATACTTGTACTTTTATAACTGAGTTATTTTTAGCCACTTAGATTATTTTTTTTGTTTGTTGACCCATTTTAGCTGCTCTGATGTCAACTAATGATTTTCTAATTTTTTTCAACTTAAATAAGTAAAAATTTAATTAAAAAGCAGGACACTCAAGTAAATTTAATGGTTTAGCTCCATACATGGTCACTTATATTTTTATATTTCAGGTAAGTGGGAAGCATTAAAGACTGGGGTTTTACTTATGTTCTTTTGTTTTCTTCATTCTGTGAGCTTGCTATAAGTACAGGTGAGGTAGTATAAAAAGTCATCCTGTTAGTAATCAGTTTATCAGCAAGTCACATCAGTCACTATTGCTTGGTGCTGTTCAAAGATATGAAACTAGTGCTGAAATGGAGAAGGAAAATGCTTCACTAAAGGAGCTGGGTTTTAAGTTACGATCTTGGTGATGATAAACGTTGAATTATGTGTTCTCCAAGTATCAGCATGAAAACTAAATTACTAATATCACTGTTTAGGTATGGTAATATTTAACATTTTATTTTCATCTCTTTTCTAAATTGGAGAAAAAAATAACCTTAAATAATGGTCCTTCCCAAACAAAGGGATAACTACTTCATACTTGGAGAAAGAATTCGTTTTAAACCTCAGGTTGCCAGTCATTTTTTAAATTAATCTTTATTGTATTTTTTCCATTACCATTTAGTCTCCTTATACCTCTTTACCCCAGCAGTCTCCACACTGTTGTCCATGTCTGTGAGTCCTTTTTCCTTTTTGTTCAGTCCCTCCACCTCCAACCTCCCCACCACCAGCTCTTGTCCTGTTTCCCATCTATGGATCTGTCCCCATTTTCCTTGTTAGTTTATTTCCTTCACCAAATTAGGGAAATTTTTACTATTTTTGTCAGATAGATTTCTGGTTTCTTGCTTTTTCTCTTCTCCTCCTGGCACCCCATATGAGGCAAATGTTGGACCTCTTAAAGTTGTCCCAGAGACTATTTATAATTCTCATTTGGGGAGGATTTTTTCTTTTTATTGTTGTGCATGGTTGTTTTTTGCTTCCTTATGTTCCAAATTACTGATTTTGTTCTCAGCTTCGTCCATTCTACTGTTGTTTCCCTCTAAATTGTTCTTTATTTCAATTAGTTTATCCTTTGTTTTTGACTGGGTTTTTTTTTTTTATGCTACAGAGGTCCTCATAAGTAGCATGCTTAAGTTCCTTGAGCGTCCTTATAAACTGTAGTGAACTCTGCATCTGATAGATTGCTTATCTCCATTTCATTTAGCTCTTTTTCTGGCGTTTTTATCTGTTCTTTCATTTGGACCATGTTTCTTTGTCTCCTCATTTTGGCAGCCTCCCTGTGTTTGTTTCTATGTATTAGGTAGAGCTGCTTTGATTCCGTGTCTTGGTATTGTGGCCTAATACAGTAGGTGTCTTGTAGCATCCAAAGGCACAGCTTCTGCTGTCACCCAAGCTAGGGACATGAGGTGTGCCCTTTGTGTGGGCAGAGCAAACCTTCCTCTTGTAGTTGAGCTTTGGTTGCTGTTGGCAGATCAATGGGAGGGATTTTACCCAGGCCAGTCAGCTGCAGACTGGTTGTGACCACTGACCACCAACCACTGCCCTCCGTGGAGGATCAGCTGTATGGGGGCAGGGTGGTGGTGCCCTGACGTGGTCTGTGGCTATGCACTGGGTAGGCAGGCTCTGGGGTTTCCCTGGTGGTACAGGCCAAGGTCAGATCTCAATTTGTGTTTGGCCCCAGGCACCTTGCCTGAGTTACAAAGCAATCTGAGGTAGCTGCTACTTATGCTGGGTTTGGAGATTCCCAGGTGAGGCCAAGCTGTGTCTCTAATCTGACTGAAAGGATTAGAGGCTTCTTTTAATAGGATTTAGGTGCCAAGAAGAGCCATTCTTAAGAAAAAGCAGCTTGGGTGGGCAGGTAAGTTGGGTGGGGTGGAGGGAGGCTCAAGGGACCTCTAGGGCAGGTCACACAGTGTTAGCCAGGTTGATGGAGTGTCAGATACGGCAACAGTCTACTGCTCTGGCGGGGGAGAGCTCAGCAAAGGGACAATGGCCTCGCTTGCCTTGATGCCAGACACCTCAGTTTCTCCCTGTGTACCACTGGTGCCCTTCAGGCTGCCACCCCAGTGCTGGAGCTCAGTGGGAGTGGGTCTGAGTAGGTGAGTCTGTGTGTGGGTTCTTTCAGAGGAACCATTTAGGGCTCCAGCAGCCTCCTCCACCTATTCAATCCCCGCTGGTTTTTGCAGCCAGAAGTTTGGGGGACACTCTTCCTAGAACTGGATTCCTGGGCTGGGGCGGGAGCTTGTGGGGAGGCCTGGTGTGGGTATTGGACTCCTTGCTCCCCAGATACCTCTCTTGAATTTTTATCCATGTGGGAGTGAAGCCAGCCTGTTCCAAGTCTGCACCCTTCCTACTAGCCTGGATGGATGCGGTTTCTTCAGTTCTGTAGCTGTCTGATTTCCATTCAGCTCAATTTCTGGTGTTCCTGAATGATAGTTGTTCTATATTTTAGGTGTAATTTTGATGTGATTGTGTGAAGAGGTGAGCCATGTCTGCCTACATCGCCATCTTGACTGGAAGCCCCCTGCCAGTCATTTAAAAAACAAAATCAGAGTCATGGAAAATTTTTTTTTTTAATGCCGATCAAGATTTTAAATAAGGAAATAAATTTTCTGATATGGGGGGAAAAATAAGTTTAACAACAAATGTCACCCTTCCATGAATTGCTTCTGCTTAAATTCAGGCAAGTTAAGACATGCTCATCTCAAACTGTGTCATCTTGTAGCCATTGGGAGTTAAAACACCATGTATGTAATGGCTTTCAGACTGTATGCAAAGCTCAGACTGTTTTTCCTGAATCACCATTAGTGTTTGGAATGTTAGAAAGTCAGTAGCAGTAACTGTATTCATAGGTGAATGAGAATTCCATGGTGAAAGTATTTCATAAAACTATGAAGAAATTTTTTAACTCTTTATATAATTTAATAGCATAAGATTGTAAATTGTAATATGGTTCTAATTGATATACTTGTGAGAGGCCTTCTTGTAAAACTTCATGCACCAGTGATTGCCACATTCAGTAGCAGCATATTGACCAGAAACATGCCAGGCTAGTGTGAATTGTGGAGAAACTATTTCTAACTTTTTCTAAACAGTTATTTATAAGAAAATTACTTATTAGTAAAGTAAATTATAAGTGATATGTCACATACATACTTTGATTTTTAGCAATGGTGATAGAATGAGAAGGGAAGTAGGAAGTCCGAAACCTCGGTTCTGTTCCCTGTGCTTTACCCCTACTCCTAATGCGGTGTTTTGAGAAGGTAGTAAGAGAAGCCTCGCTTTGAGCATGTTCAGGAACACAAGGTCGACCGGGTCTTCCAGCACAGGTCAGTCTGTTTATCATCTACAGTGTTTTTAGCTTTGACCTGTAATGTGTATGCATTTTTATTAGATGTTTAAATAGTTATTTATAAATATTTAAATTCAAGTAGAAGTTTTGTTGACAGGAGTTCATAGTTTGAAAACCGTTGGACCTGATAATACTTAAGACTCAGTAAAGAATCCCTCTGGAGTCAGATGATGGGTCTGGTCCCACATCTGCCAGTGCATCACTCTTCTTGGACCCTCCCTAACCCTCCCACTGATTAAGTGACGGGGGAAATCTCACATGGTGGAGGATTAAATGAGATAATAAATATAAAGCACTTGGCATAGTACCTGAGATACCATAAGTACCTATAATCTATGGTATTTAAATTATAATTTCTGTCATAATCACCATAAAATTATTGTTATTAAAAACTATTCAATAATAGAGTTTGAACTTGGGGAAAACAATGGCAACGGTATACTTTTTGAATCTCCTCCTAAGGATACAGAGTAACTAGGATAGCCATAGACCCTATTCTCCAAAGCAAATGACAAAGTTTCCCTATGAACAGGAATACCCAAGTGAGGGCAAGTCACTGACCAACATAGTTTCAGCATCTGTATGGAGAGAAGTAGAAGGCAGACAACTGGTTTCTGACAAGCCTTGAGACCAGGAGAACTAGAACACTGTCCTCAGGCCCATCGTAAACTGCAATGGGCCTATCTGAGAACAGAGACTAAAAGTGGGAGGGGTTCTACAGGTTCCCATTTTCAGGTGAATGTTACAGCAGTTTAATAAGGTGTGATGATTGTGCTAGAGCAGTCTGTTCCTCTTAAGAGTAATGAGACAAAGCCCAGCACTGAGGAAAAACTCCTAGCATTAGACAGGACAAGTAAAATAGGACAGAGAACAGAAGGACCAGATAAAAATTGGAAGGCAAGCCAACAAACAGAGGCATTATTTGTAGACATATATACTCTTTTAAAAATCACTTTGTCAAAATGAACAAGGAGTGTTGGGGCCATGGATCTAAGAAAAATTAGTCTCCCTTCTAAAAGTACAGGAAAACTTAAAGAAAAAAAAGACTAACCTAAGGAGAAGGGGCAAGCAAACGAACACGAATAGAGGACTTATGGGCACGTGCAGGGCAGGGGGATTGACTGGGGTGGAGCTGGGCAGGGTTGGGAGAGCAGTGGGGAAAAGGACAACTAACTGAACAGTAAATAAACATTAAAAAGGAGCAAATGAAAAGGATTAAAGTCAAATTCCATTCAGAGTTACAAGAATTAAGCAGATCTTAAGGAGTCTTAAAAATGGGAAGGAAAGGCGAGACAAAAGAAAGCAGAAGAAGGAATTAGAAAAAGTGGGGAAGGGGAGAGAATAAGATACACAAGCTAACCTACTCAAGAAAAAGGGAGGAAACAAAAATTTAAATGACATCGTAGAAATGGTTGTAAAACAAAAACTTTCAGAATTTTAAGACTACTTTGAATAATTTTATATATTAAATTACAAAAGTGACTTTTTTAGAAAAATGCCAATTGCAAAAATTTACCCTAGTAAAGAAATTCACACACTAATTACCATGTATCATAGAAGAAACATAGTTAAAGGACTCCATACAAAAAAAAAAGCATCAGGCCCAGATTGTTTCAAGGAGTTTGCTGCCAAACCTGTATGATTAAATAGTCTCAATGTTTAAAGAATTCCAGAAGCTAGAAATGGTATCTTGAACTTCAAACTGCCCCCCTGAAAAAAAAAAAAAAAAAGACTAATTTTGTAACATGAATATGATAGTGTTGTCTCCCAAACCTGGCAGAAAATTACTGAGAGACCACTGTCACTTATGAA